TTAGAGAACTAAAGATATCATTACAAAATGAACAAATCTGAGAGAGATCCACATGTAGTACCTATATATGTAATATCAAAGCAATTGGACTTGCGGTTTTTAACAAGAAGTCGAAAATATCACTTTTTACCAAAAATTACAAAAATATTCACCAAAATTAGAGAATTGAAGATATGATCATGAAATGAACAAATCTGAGAGAGGTCTACCCAAGGTACATATACACCAAGTATCAAAGCATTCAGGCTTGTAGTTTTCAAGAAGAAATCGAAAAAGTAAAACATTGACACGGACGATGGACAATCACTCATATGATAAGCTCCGCTCGACAAAGTCGACAGCGGAGCTAAAAATGTATAATGTAATTAGGAATTTGCTTTATCTGTAAAGTGTAAAAACTTTTTTTACTGAACTTACCGTAAAAACACAAGTCATTGAAAACTGACAGGGCATGTCCAAGATACCGCATAAAAAAAACAACAAGATGCCTGCCAGTCAACCATCTTTGATCCAATTGCGAAATAAATTGTCATGGACATGTATCCTAACATGTATAATCTATGTACCAAGTTTGAATAACAACTGACAAAGCATGTCCAAAATACAACATTTTCAAAAAACAAGATGGCTGCCAGTCGGCCATTTTAAATCGAATCGCTAAACCACTGCATGTGCATATGTCCTACATAAGGTACTAGACACATGCAAAGAATGAACGGAATCGGTCCACAGGATTCTGAAATATGACTCTGGACAGACTGACGAACGGACGGATAGACTCAGGAACTCACGGTCAGTCAGGGACATATATCCTAACATGTATGATCTATGTACTAAATTTGAGTGAAAACTGACAAAGCATGTCCAAAATACAACATTTTCAAAAACAAGATGGCTGCCAGTCAACCATCTTTGATCCAATTGTGAAATAAATCGTCATGGACATGTATCCTAATATGTATAATCTATGTACCATGCAAGTTTGAATGAAAACGAACAAAGCATGTCCAAAATAAAACATTTTCAAAAAACAAGATGGCTGCCAGTCGGCCATTTTGAATCGAATCGCTAAACCACTGCATGTGCATATGTCCCACATAAAGTACTAGGCACATGCAAAGAATGAACGGAATCGGTCCAAGGGATTCTGAGATATGACTCCGGACACACGCACGGACGGAGACCGAATTATAAGTCCCCGTTTTCGGACTTCGTCTGAACAGGGACTAATAAAATGCCATTCTTATTTCCCGACCCAATAACATTTATTAACAACAGCAATGACCGACCTTTTCCTTCCACCTTTGAAGATACAGGCAAGGTAAAAATGTGACTGATGAGAATAATTATTAATTATAATTATTTACTTGTAAAATATCATCCGGTCCATGTAAGTTGATATAAACTGGAAGGATTCTTGGTGTACCACTCGTTCTCACTCTGCCTCTTGTTTTGTTGTTTTTAGCTGTAACATACAATGCATCATTTGAATCAAGTTCAAGTCAACTATATTTCAAAGTTGTTTTCAAAGTTTTCTCTAACTGTAAATGCATATAGAAACGTACACACTACAAATTTAGCAAAACCTTTCTTGGAGTAAACTAACCTGTTATGTTGTAGGATGTACTTGAATTTGATTCTGTGGACATTTTTGTAGCATTTGGTACAATGATTGGTTTCACATCAGTTTCTGATTTACTCTTGCGTTTGGATTTTCTACTTGATTTTCGTGAATTTTTTGCTGCAGGTTGGACTATTGTGTAAAATATATAAATATATATTTTCAATGATTCAAGTGTTTCAGCCTTCACTTTACTAGGTGTCTGCATTCAAATGCAATCATTGTATGAAACATTGCCAAACACATAATTAGCATGAAATTTGACCTGATGTCAAATCACTGTGGAAACATTTTTTTTACCAAATCAATATTTTGTGTTAAATTTAGACATAATTTCCCATTCTCTACAGAGTTTGATTGAAATTTGTGTCTTACATATTGGTAAAAAACATTTTCTATGACACAAATGCCATTTTCTTTGTAATTTACCCATTGTAGTTGATTTCCTTCTAAATCCAGTGAGTTAGATCTAACCTTAAACATTAATGATATGCCATGATGATCACAGGGATCATTAATATAATTTTCTTTTTTGTTATTTTTTTGATCCAACAATAGTGTTTTTGATCCAACATAGTGTTGTATTCTCCTGTATGTGTTTGACAAGGGCCATATCAACACACTGAGACATGTATGTATAATTCAGTATGTGTTTGACAAGGCCATATCAACACACTGAGACATGTATGTATTCTCTTGTATGTGTTTGACAAAGGCCATATCATACACTGAGACATGTATGTATT